TTTGTCAGGGTGATACCGCAAGCCTAAATGATTAAAAATATAAACTAAGCGATCTCCTAAACTTGTAACCTGACAAATAGTCTATCACAGTCTGCAAAGGCAAAGGACTAGAGCTTAAACTCTTTCGTCTCTGTGCCATACCCTCCCCTCTGCTTGTCTGAGCACTGGGGCCCTCACAGGCAAGCTTGGGTGAGGCCTCTGCCCCAGCCTGCACGTCCATGCTCCCACACCCTTTCTCCCCAGCCCTATGCTGCTGCCTCATGGCTGTCCCTGGGGCCTTGGTGTGTTAACTCTGCAGAAGCACATCTGCACACAGGCCCTGGGAAGAGGGTTCAGAAGCCTTTGGGCAGAAAATGAGAAACTCGGTCAGAGGCACAGTGAGGTCTGGAGGGGAGCACATGTCCCTTGGGTCTGACTAAGTCCTTTCTGTCCAGCTGGAGAACGGAGAACGGAGAACAGGCTAGGGGTCCCTTCAAGCTTAGGGTCCAGGACAAGGTCCCTGTGTTAAGGAAAGTACCTCTCTCCACATCACCATTGATTAATCCTTCAACAGCCTGCTTCCCTTTGACCAACAGAGTTCCCAGATGAATCTTTTTGGTTAATAAGATCTATTTTCTTTCGATTCTGCTAGGGCCAGCATTTCCCAGAGTTATTGAGCGATTGTTCAGTAGTATAGAAAGTGGCTCACTCAACACTGGAGACATCGGTTTGCCTTGGTCATGACCACCTTCCAGAGTCATACATTCTGATTTCCTAGCAGCTCCAGGTGGGTAGAACTGAGTGACTTTCTCCCCTCCCAAGAGCATAGGCATTTAGTCGGTGCAGGCTCATGTAGAGTTGGAAAAATTAACCTGTGTCACTAGAAGGACTCACTTGTCCAGTGATGTTGGTGTCTGTATGTGATTTCAGGGTGCCTCAAGAAAGGACCATTTCTCTCCCATTCCCAGCTTGTGAGGCTCCTTAAGCAAGCAGTTACTGAAGTATCCTAACTCTTCAACCTGAAGAAAGCACTGGTATCCAAGACTGGACTTCCCAATTTCAGATCATCCATTTTCATCATCTGGGTCCAAATCTGTCCCAGGCGAAGCTGCTAGAGAAAGAAAGGTCCCGGCCGGGCCCCTTTGGACTGTGGCTAATGATTTGAATGTCACTGCTGGTGAACCCCAACAACGTGCTTGTCTTTGACATTCACCAGGACAGGTACTAAGAAGCCTCGTGATTCTTTTCACCTGAGTCCTGGAAGAGAGACTGTGTTTCTCAGTCCAGAAGGGGAAGGAACACCTCCCACTCCTCCCCAGCCCTGCCCCACCCCCCTAGGATTGTTCTGGCCTGTCCTTCCTCAGCCCCTGTTGTTGCAAGCCCGTACTTTTCGGCCTGCGCCTCTCGGGAAGGTGGCAGGAAATTCTAGTCACCCTCACAGCAGCTGCACCATTCCTCCTATCCTCCTCTGATGACGTGGGTTGGCTCTGGTGACAGGAGGTCAGGAACTGAGCCACAGCGGAGGCCGGAAAGAGAGGTCACTGTTTATGCGGCACTCGGGCTGGGGATCCCGGTGGGGCTGTTGGCTTTCTTCCTTTCTAGACTGTTTCTCTTTCCGTTCCTCTTTCTGGGCTGAGCCCAGGCATCCTGTTTTCAAAACATCAGGCTGTTTTTCGGCAGATTAACTCATGCTCTGATGCGTTTTTGCCTACGAGTGAGACGGTTCTTCCAGGTGAGGAGGTGACAAGGCTTGAAACACATCGATTCCCGAGCAAATCTCAGAGGGAAAGGCTCTGACGTGCCCCCCTTACTGGGGCTGCTCCCTGACGGGTCCAGGCATTCTTCCCACATCAGAAACGATGGCTGTGCCCTCCAAGCTCCTGCTTACCTGTTTTGTCTTTTTGCCTTTTGCATTATTTTTATCACTTTTTTTTTAATTTTGAGAAAATGGTCTCTAACACTAACTCATCTGGCTGTCTAGGTTTCTCTAAAACTTTGAAATTTCACTGGACCTACTGATAGCATCTAGGGATAAAGAGAACTGTTTTTGCTGGGCACATCCACCCTCCTGTAGAAGCGCAGGGAAAGCTGGCTACACCTCTAATCACTCCTTTACTTTAGACCACAGATGGGTCAAGGAAAATCACAGATAAACAACAAGAAAACATTGCCCTGCCCAGATGTCAGAAACCCTAAAGGCCGCTTGCTTTTCCTCTAGGGAACAGGCAAGGCTCCACCTTGCCCACACAGACTGGCACCTCTGTTACCCAGTTACACTCCCTCCACAAGACAGTGACTCTGCCATCTATACTCTCAAGTTCAGACTCTGTAAACAAAAGCCTTCGGGTTGCTCTGAAGTACAAGTAAGGACACAGATTTGGTTTTGCAACAGTGTAGCAGGGCTCAGTAAGTAATCACCCACCTAATTCTTACGACATGCCAGGGGCACTTTACTAACCGCTTTGGGTACCCTAACCCTGGTGAGGCGAGGCCCACTTTGATATTGCAAAACCGAATCTTCAGACAGTTAAATAAGTTGGTTCATGTAAAACATCGAGTCAGTGAGACGGACAGAATTTAAACCATGCATCCCCAGATCCAAAGCTCTTCATATTCTCTCACCGCCTGTCAAGTGTGTTATCTGGATACTCCCTTCCAGCTCTGGGAATGAGTTTTGCTATGGCTCCTTTGTTCAGTGAGAGTAAGCAAATTAAAACCAAATCTGGCAACTTAGTGATAACCGAGACGGTGTTTCCAAACAGCTACTTACATGGATATCTCAGACAATTTCAGTATGTACATTTCAAGGCAAAATATTAGTTTTATTGCGCATCACTTCGCCTCGCTTTTCCAAATAATATCAACTAACTCTTTTCTGGCGGTCACACTATATTCCGCGCTGTTTTTACACGGGACGTGTTAGCCCTTGGGCTCCGTGTCACCCAAAACAATGATCTGAACGGAACGAATCGATGAGTTGAGGGGAGAGAACTTTCTAACACAGAATTCTCCTACTCACTCACTGGAGGGCTGCTATGCCCCACCACCTTCCCAGGCACCTAAGACTGGACGGGGCAGCATGCCTCTGCTTCAGCTCACAAGCTGAGCGGGGCCTGGCCTTTTTTTGGAGTTAGCTCTAGTCAACTTTCATTGCTTCCTGCATAGGACACTCTCAGGGAAGGGTGGAGGCTTAAGGGACTGGGAGCCTCTGGTCTCCACACACACCTCCTTTCATGTTTAGCGATACACACTAATAACTTTACAAGACAGACAGCGAACAAGGCCAGCACTCTAGACACACCGTGGACATGAAAACCAGTGGCAATATGCAGATTCTTTAAGACTGTTCCTTTTCCCCTCTGGATAGTCTCCTGCTTTGTCTTGGTGACTCCAGACATTCATGGCCTTGATGGCGAAAACTACTGAGAAGATCCCCCTGGAATTTTGGATCCACAGGTTGCATCAAGTATCACAAAGTAAGAGACTATGGAGTATCTGCTCGCGCTGTGAAGCAGGCAAAGCCCGTGTGAAACGTTCTATGTAAATCCCAGAGTGATTTGGAGAAGTCACACAGTGAAGCCCCCAGCATGGGGAAGCGGTTGGGTTTTACACCAACCCGGAAAGTCCCTGCTTACAAGGGAGCTTGAGAGAAGTCAGAAAATACAAGTTAAAACCCCAATGTGTCCTGTTTCTTTATTCCCCACCAAGTAGAACGCTGAGCTAAAAAATTTCAGAAGGGTCTCATTTCTGCTCTGTTACGGATTGGTTCATGAGAGAGTTCCAGAATCAGAAGGACCCTACCACCACCACCATCACACACACACACACACACACACACACACACACACACACACACACATACACACACACAGCATCTCCTAAAGATGCTCTGCTTCCTCTGCCATCATGATCTGAAGAGGAGCCAGCAAGCTCTGCTCCAAAGTGATGCTTTTTACCCAGGAAAGAGGAAGGAGAGTGCAATCAGGGATGCACCTTGGGCTGGAAGAGTAGGTGTGGTACAAAGTCTCTTCCAGCCTCTGGATGTCAGACAACAGCACAACACCTCAAGCCTTGGTGTAGGGGCCTTGAAGGTGAACTCTGTGAGGTGCAGGGTCCAGGATTTCCCTCCAAGTACACTAATGTAGATGTATATATAACTTCATAACTTCTAACGCACATACACACCTCTGCACACATACACACATAGATAAAATTCTGCATGAAAACACATAAACAAGCAGGAAAAAAACCTAGCAACAACCTTCACTATATAATGTCAATAAATTAGCACTCTGTGCTCAGATGTTAATTAAACAAATAAGATAATGATAGATAATTAAGGCAACTCAACACTAAGTTTTGTTTTGTTTTTCTGGATATTGTAAATAAAATCTTTTTCCCCCACTATGGATGGATTTTAATTTTCAAAGATTTCACCTTTAAAATTAGGAAAAAGAATATCAAACCCAACTTTCAGTGATAGAAAGCAAAATATATTCTCTCTCTCTCTCTCTCTCTCTCTCTCTCTCTCTCTCTCTCTCTCCTTCTCCTTCTTCTTCTTTTACTCTCAAACCATGTCAGCATCACAAAGAATTGTTATAAATCCCCAGTGCCCTTCTTCCCAGCAAGAATTTGTCAGCCTGGAAGGTTCTCATTAAAAAGTGGTGCACCTACTTTCTCGTCAAACATGTGTATGCTGCACCGATCAAAATGTGGCAAGTCCTACACTCTGCCCGGTGGACTCATGCAGATTTTAGCTTTCTGCTGTTTAGAAAGTAAAGACATCTATATTTGTAAAATGGTGTGGAACCTACGAAGATGCCTTCCACTTTTATTGGATACTGTACGAATTCGGAGGTTTGTTTCTGGGCATTAATACAGATTAAGAAGTTTCCGTTTACTGTGGTACCAGGGCACAAGCAAAGAAAGTGTGGCACTTCGACCAAGTCCTCTGAAAAAGATCATTGGACAGGCTGCAGTCTGGCGCTTCAGTGGTAGTTTAGAGAAAAGGGTGTCCTTACCTTGTTTGAAGCCATCTCGCTGACAGAGCGATAGGTCTGGATGGTCTCTAGCTGGTCTAGACACCAGTCTAGTTCCTCCAGCGTCTCCATTGCTAGTTTCTGATATGATTCTTCTGCAAACAAACACACAGACAGGTAGTTAGGCTGCAGCGGCTGCAGGCTGGCCATAGCCGAGTCTCCTCCGCCTCGACTGTTCCCGGCGCCACTGACGGTGCCCCCTTGCTCCTTCATTGTTTGCTTGCCGACTCCTTGCTTCCAAGCTCTCTCTGGTGTTCTGCCCAGGGGTGGCCGGTGCCAAGTTTTCACCCCCTCGCCGGGATGAGGTGTCAGTGATCTACCAAGAAACTTCCTCAGAGGAAGAAGGCGGGAACCTGCGCCCAGACGCTCATCTGCATAACTGTGCCCTAAAACTCAGGGCTGAGCAGAGTTTTCTCAGGCTGCCTCTGCCTTAGTCATTCCGGGGCTCTGTGGGGTGTGTGATGTCATTTCTGAGTGTTTGCAGTCTGGAGGAGAAATGAGGAAGGCTTTCCTCTCCTCTTGCTTTGCTTCTAAGTGAACCGGGCTTGCTATGGCCATGTGAGGGCAACTGTTTGACCGTGCTGTTCCCAGGCAGGACACTCATTCATTCTAGGGGAATGGTCCAATTGGGTCCCTTTGAACTCGGCGACGACACTGACCCTGGGCAAGACCGAGGTATAAGCTATTGCTTTCTCTTCGTGGATTCTCTCCCTAAACTAAAGGTAAAATGAGGTCTCCCCGATGATAAGACTCCAGTCTAGAGAAACTGTCTGGAGTTTTACGTGAACACGTTTATTGGCCTGGGAGTCTTGTGGCTCTTGTTATAATAAACAAAGCCAAGACTTCCCTTCGAGTAGTGCCAGGGTCACAGAGAAACTCCGAACCGGACTTTCAGGTGGAGCCAGATGTGCGCCTTGCCTCTGCGTTGATGCTAGAGGGTCTCTTTTGTCGCTTTCTGGAAATTTTTCAAAGTGTTCCACAAACTAACCAACCAGCCAAACAAAAACCCCTCAACAAACAAACAAACAAACAACAACAACAACAACAAAAATAAACACAGTGTGTTCAAGATCATACATCTGGCTATGATTGGAACACTCATCTTTTTCACTTCCCAGGGCATGGCATTCCATAGCCAAAAGTTTGTGGGTCTCAATAAATATTTCAGGTTATTGACTTAAGACCTAGGTTAATAAACACGGAATTCATGTTATAATTTTAGGTGAGTTAATGAAGCTTCAGACACATAAAGCAGGAAGACTCTCCACGTAGAAGTGAGAACAGCAGTTAGTCCCCACACAGTCCGGAACAGACACTGATAAGATACAACGTTGCTGCCGGCTTTAGAATGCCTGGAGAGAGGTTTGAAGCCTGCTTATGGAGAAGCTCATAGGGAGCTTAGGGAGACCCCCCCAGTCTTCCAGTACCACATGAAGAATTCTATGTGTGCCGCAGCCAATACCTGAGACAGAAAGAGAAAGAATTGAAGTTTGGTTCCAGGGAAATGAAGTGCCCTGCCCACAGAGGCTCGCTTCGTAGAACTGGGCGTTTGTTTATCCCCACAGTGTGTGCACACTTCGGGGTAAAGAGGGGTTAAAGCTCAACATCCTGTATGTCATACGTGAAAACCCACAAAACCACCGGAGGTGACTCCCTCCATCTTTTCCACACTTCTCAGTGTGCAGACAAGAATTGAGGTGTTTTCAATAAAGCTCATTCCAAGCCTGACTTGCACACACCTGAGCAACCTCTTCACCTTGGCGAGGTGGCCTTGATTCCAAGGTTCCCCCCTCTCTCTAGTGTGACCTGCAGCACCCCTTCCTCCTCTGGTTCCTAACACAAGCGCTTCATGAAGAAAACTTTGCCCAAAGGGACAGAACCCTTGCACCCCTCCTTCCTCCCTGCTTGGGCGTCACTGCCATGGTGCCTTCCCCAGCACCACCTGCAGCCTCTGGACCGGGGACCAGCCATGCATGCAGCAGGCCAGCCAGAAGAGGAGGAGCTTGCTCAAAGCTGTGGGGATCAGCAGAAATGCAAAATGACTGCAAGATAAAATAGCTAGGGAAAGGCACCTTTCTGCACGAAGAAGAGGGGGATCTGGTCTCCAGCCCAGCTTCACACAGAAAGCACAGAAGTAAGTCAGTAGATGCTCTGAAGCTTTGCAGAGGTATGCCACGGTACCTGAGGGCTGCAAATGGTGCCTGAGCAGTACTGCTGCCCTCAGGGCGGCCTGAGATGTGTGTGCCTGGCTGGCAGACCCGAGGGCATCCTGCACCTGTGTCTAGTCTTCAACAGGCTCATCACTTTTTTTTTTTTTATAGGAACAGCCATTTCATCTTGAAATTCTGTTAGAGTCTCTCAGTGATGGCCTGTGATCAATTGGAGCCAAATAAACCCTTTCCTCCCTGAGTAGCTTTTGGTCATGATCTTTATCATGGCCATAAAAAGACTACTAGAACAATGTTAAATAAGAAGTTTTTGTCTCATGGAGACACAGGCTCTGTTTACCGTATGGTACCTTTGCCAACTCAGAGCTGGGCCACTTTTTAACTGTGCCCCAGCACACTCTCCCAACCCAGATCTTGTGCCTGTATCCAGCCTCTGCTGGAGATGGTGAGAAGCAGTAGTCCCAGGTGATGATGGGCAGAAGCAGCCTGCATGGTTTCTGGGATGCCAGGGATCAGAGAAAGAGAATGATTGAGAAAATCAGGTTGGAGGTGCAGCTCAGTGATAGTGTGTAATCACATGACCCCATATTTAATTCTCAGCACTGCCAAGAGCAAGCAAGCAAACAAACCAAACACACCTATCAGAGAAGCAAATTATTTGAGAACGTGTCTGGGAGGAACAGACAAGTAGCCAACTTCATTTGCAAAACAGTAAGTTCTAAGATAAACTACAAGCTTCGTGGCAGCCAACATGGACGCTTCTGTGCACAGGAATCTGCGCAACGACAGAAGTTCTATTTCCAGAAGGCTGTCTCTGGTCCTGTCCTGCATAAAATGGTCCTGAAGAGAGCAATGCTGTCACCACAGAAGCACGCCTCCAGGGAGCAAGAACAGGGACTGTAACCATGGAGGGTGGCATCATTAAGCCTCGTATTCAAGGAGAAGCCACAGGGAAAGTCAACCTTCTTCCCTTTCATTCCTCCAAGGGTGGCCGAGGAAGCTTTTCTTCCTTCAATAGGAAGGCAGTAGGTATTGTATTTGATGAATAGGCAAGGATTATAATTAATATTAATCTTGTAATGATATATTGTATTTAAATAGTTCTTTTCTCAAAGGAAATCCACAGTGTTCATTAATCCCTGCAACAGCTCTATGTGACAGACAGGCAAGAGGGTATGATTGATTTATATTAGGGCTCAAGCCAAGAACGAAATGAGAAGTTGAAGACAATAGTACCCTCCAGATTCCTGGCAGGACTGGATTTTGCTCTGTGCTAAAGAGGATTCAGCTTAGAGCAGAACAGCGACCGTATTCCTGAAAATGCTGCATTTAAAGTCACGTCTAACCAGGTCTTTTCTACTTAAAATTGCACAATTGTTTTCTTAAATGTTGTCAGTCCCGAGTCTTCTCTTCCCTTTTCTTGCTCATCTAACGTAGCTCTCAGCAAAGGGAAGCTGGGCAACACTTCCTCAGCAGCCTGTCATGGCCTTCACATTCATCTACCATGGCTGATCTCAAGCTACTTACCCAAGGTCTGCAGGACTAAACCTCTTCACATGTAAAGAGAGGTCAAGGGAACTACCCCGCTCTCAGTGGGAATGTAGAACCAGAAAATGCGCACATAAACAGGCAATAAGCCTTTAATTATTATATATGTCTTGCAAATATATCTTCTTTTTGCAAATGGGACGCAGATGCATTGTAAAAAATCAGGATACAGTAGAGGAGAAAACCTTGACATGATGTGAGTCTCAGTGGTAGACCCCACTGTTAACATCATACATAGTACAAAATTTTCATTTATGTACCCGTATTTACATATAAATGTACATAAATTAAATAATATCACAATGTACAGACTGCTGAGTAACATTTTTTAAAATAGTCAATGCTCTTTCACCTTTCCCCTGTTTTATACATACATTTCCAATTCATCTATCATTTGGGATCATATTCTAACTTCCCAATCTTTTCATTCTAATCCAGTGGCAGTACACATGCGTGTGAATGTGCACATGTGTGTGAGTGTATGCGTGTGTGTCTAGAAAAGGACAGACACAGAGAAGAGTCATGGTGAGAAAGAGCAATTAGAAACCTCTGAGTAGTTACAGATTGCCAGTTACTCCCAGTCAGAAAACAGTGTAATAGATATGAACGCTTATAAAGTCAGTGATCTGGCTGTCAGCAGACCTTAGGCTCCCTAAACCTGGCCCTGCAATGCTGGGAGCTCAATGTGATCTTATTAGCTCCTGACTTCACCGAGGCCCTCTTCTAGCCTTGATACTGTCTACTATGAAACTCACCATTCAATACAAATGAGATTGGCATTCAGAGAGGTAAATGTCCTACCCCACAAATATACATGACTAAAAACATCATAGGATACCCCAAATATAAGCTTCCCTTCAAATTAAATGCTTTCTGAATACTACTTAAATGTTACTCTGACACAGTCCCATATATATATTATTTATATATATATATATATATAAATAAAATCAGGAGTATCAGGAGTATGTCTGATAGAGAAGAAGTGTAAATATCTTTTCCCTTTTGACTCTCTTCTCATGAAAAGTGTGTCTAATAGATCAGAACAATTACTACAAGCAACATGGAGTGTAGATTTTCTAAGCACATATATGGCAGAAGACAAACAAACACAGTTACCAAAAGAGACATGAAATGAAGTATGACGCAATTTATATAATGTGCAAAGGGGGAAAAATGAATCTATGAAGCAAGAGGGAAATAGTGATCACCTTGGGCTGGGGACAGGCATGTTGGTGACCAGAGAGGGCTTTTATGGGACTGGCCATGATGATGGAGTCATGTTTGGGGACTGGCTACACGAATCTGATCATTTGGGGAAAGTTTATATCTTCTTTCATGATTTGTTTCTTTTTGACATTCTGTGTAAGTTTTCTTTCAACAAAGTCCCATTTAGGGAAAGTCTAACCTAAAACTAACATCCCGCACCACCACCAAATATAAACGAGAGTGGGATATTTTTCCTTCCTTCCTTCCTTCCTTCCTTCCTTCCTTCCTTCCTTCCTTCCTTCCTTCCTT